ATGCAACATAATATACTGCAGCAACAACACAGTTTATTTAGGTCAACGACTTTTTTCTAATTAATATCAAATGTATTATATTGAACAGTATTATAATGTGAATATGATACGTTACAATTTGAATCTCGTTAATTTCTGATGCAATTACATAGTATAGCATAACAGGCAATTTCAGATGACCTGTGAAATTAATATTAGTTGTATATATTAGTTAGACCATGTATAGAATAACAATAAGGATTCACGCGAAATGTGCAACATGTAATTATAATTGTGCAAATTAACAGAATGGAATATCCAAAACACATGACCACACAGAAATTCAGCCACTTATTGAACCACTTGCAATCAACTATTTAACGAGGTTCTTAATGTTCATAAAATAAATACTGCAATAATATTTCAGAATATCATTGAACTTTTTTTTGGAAAAATTGCAACATTACTAATTGAATTACTTTATTACAACTTTTGGAAAATTCCAACACTGCTAATTAAGATGTAATGTTGTTAAAATTTTTTGAAGAATTTCAACAGTATTAATTAAACTATAATATTATTAAATTCTTTTAAAAATTTCAATGCTGCTAATTAAATTGCAACGTTATTAAAATTCTTTGAAAAATTCCAACACTACTAATTAAATTGTCACATCATTAAAATTCTTAGAAAAATTCCAACGTTATTAATTAAATTGCAACGTCACTAAAATTTGTTGAAAGATTTCAACACTAATAATTAAATTGCAACATTATTAAAATTCTTAGACAAATTTCAACGTTATTAATTGAATTGCAACATCAATAAAATTTTTTAAAAAATCCCAACACTACCAATTAAACAGCAACATCATTCAAATTCTTCGAAAAAATTCCAACACAACTAAATTCTACTGTACACAACTAATTAAATAACACTATAATAAAAACTTTCAAAATTCTCCCTGAAGAAACCCAAAGAATAACACGTTAACACAACTTCATAAACAAAAAGTTTTTCTGATGGATTAGGGCGCGGCGTTTAAATGAACGTACGAATTACGGGCACTGTTAATAACTGTCACTCAGGGAAATGCAGTCAAATACGTCCAAACCAATATCTGCGGACCTGTCGTGCCGTGAACCGCAATTTAATACGCGTAATATGCAATATATTTATCCTGCCTTTGTGTTCATTCGAATAGTTTCATAGATCTCGTAATCTGTAAATTAAATGGCATTGCTTCGTTACTCAGAGAGCTGATTTCATGATTTCATGATTTTACAGTGATTTAGAGAATTATTCGGTACCTTCGTTTGTAATTTATTTTGCTAATTAATTTTAATTCGTTTGAGTGTTCCAAATGTTTTTTGCTAATTAACTTAAATGATTTTACCACTTTTTAATCATTCGTTTGAGTGTTCTAAATGATTTTTGGTAATTAATTTGATTGATTTTACCATTTTTTAATGATTTGTTTGAGTGTTCTAAATGTTTTTTGCTAATTTAAATTATTTTACCATTTTTTAATAATTCATTTCAGTGTTCTAAATGTTTCTTGCTAATTCATTTGAGTGTTTTTTAGTGTTACCATTTTGCTTCAAAACTCAGTAAACCATAGTTACCATTTTGTTTTAAACCTCACTAAACCATAGTTACCATTTTGCCTTAAAGTTCACTAAACCATAGTTACCATTTTGCCTTAAACCTCAGTAAACCATAGTTACCATTTTGCCTTAAACCTCAGTAAACCATAGTTACCATTTCGCTCGAAGGTGTTCGAGCACCGAATACAATATTTACATAGCGTTCGGTCCAATTTAACTAAAACTGTATACCGTGTTCGAAACAATGGCTCATAAAAGTAAAAATAGCTCGATTCAGAGTCGACGACTCGACGTGTATTCACGGGAGAAAGGAGAAACGTATCGGGGAATTAGATATTCGTGGAATATCAAAGAAAACGAAAGTACCGTCGCGGATATCGTGAACACTGATAAGGATTTCATTGACACAGTTTCTGGAGCATCACTCGATCGCGGTTTGCACGGAGGTATCTCGCCGGTAAAGAATATTCCGAGCAGTCCGGATTGTTTCAGACAAGTGGAGAATGGTAACTGTGGTTTGCTGAGATTTAAAGGGAATTATTAGTATGGTTTGCTGGGTTTCAAAGGAAAGTGGTTACTGTGGTTTACTGAGAGTTCGAGGAAAATTGGAACTATGGTTTGAGGAGTTTTAAAGGAAAATGGTAACTATGGTTTACTGAGTTCTGAAACAAAATGGTAACTATGGTTTAGTGAGTTTTGAAACAAAATGGTAACTATTTTATTGAATTATAAAAGAACATAATTATTCTGGTTTGTCGAGTTTTGAAGCAAAATGGTAATTTTGGTTTATTGAGATTTAAAACAAAATGGTAACTATGGTTTACTGAGTTTTAAAGGACAGTAGTTAGTATGGTTTACTGAAGGAAAATAATTACTATGGTTTATCAAATTTCAGAGGAAAATTGAAACTGCTTTACTGTGATTTAAAATAGAATGGTAACTATGGTTTACTAAGTTTTAAAGGAAAATTGTAACTATGGTTTGTCAAGTTTTGAAGCAAAATGGTAACTATGGTTTACTAAGTTCTAAAGCAAAATGGTAACTATGGTTTACTAAGTTCTAAAGCAAAATGGTAACTATGGTTTACTAAATTTTAAAAGAAAATTGTGACTGTAGTTTGCCAAGTTTTAAAGCAAAATGGTAATTATGGATCATCGAATTCTGAAATAAAATAATTATTCTGGTTTGTCGAGTTTTGAAGCAAAATGGTAACTATAGTTTATCGAATTTCAAAGGAAAATGTTAACTATGGTTTACTGTGATTTAAAACAAAATGGTAACTATGGTTTACTGAGTTCTAAAACAAAATGGCAACTATGGTTTGCCAAGTTTTAAAGCAAAATGGTAACTATAGTTCATCAAATTCCAAAATAAAATAATTATTCTGATTTGCCAAGTTTCAAAACAAAATGGTAACAATGGTTTACTCAACAAAAACAACTCCTATACTTTATCAAATTCCAAAAATGGTAACTACACTTAACCAACACTTAATCTCACTCCCTTTCAATCACAGAATAAAATCAACAAGCCAATACACTATGTTAATCCAACCATCAACCAAGTAGACACAGCCATCACCACCATCCCAAATACATCACCCTCAACCGCCAACTCCTTTATAAGACCGTATTCGAAAAGTTTGAAAAACCATCTGGATCTCGTTGAATCTCATGACTACTAAACCGGCGCAGGGCCGGCTCCCTTCGTTTTATTTATACGCGTTACATAGTTCGCGGCGCAAGTAGCAATAATATTTTTACATCTGCGCGTGATGCGGTCACGTAGAGCGCGGCTCCCGTCGGATTTTACACGGGCATCCGAACG